CATAATGATGAGACGCGGCTTTGTGCATGTGCATCTGTTGACATATTTATGATGGCGCATACCAGCAGTCTCTGCGGAGAGCTGGGCTCCACCATCATTCGTTATCTGATACTCATGTTGGCATCTCAAGCTGCAATGGTCTACTGATTCTCCAGACATGATAACTGAATTCACACTACGTCATGTCTGTGCTTAATATAGTCGATTCAGCACAGCATAGAATTTAAAGAGCCCACAGTTTCATAATTATAAGCAATCTTAGCTCTGCCCTCCTTGTTATAAATACCATGGCAAGAACTATTACACTAAATTGTATGTGACAGTTCAGGATGCTGGGAATCTAGGCAGAACCAGTTAAAATGTTCATGAACCAATAGTAAACTATTAACTGTGGTACATCTTCATTTCCAGGACTCGAATAATCTGTCCTTCCTGTATCAGCGGTACTGAATCATAATACTCCAGAGACAAGAAGCTGCAGAACTAATTAACTTCTGACTAATTTTCAGAAGAAATAAAATCAGGCAACTTTTTCTAACGAAATTCATTATTGAAATGATGTCACTGCACCAAAGTTAAAACAATTGAAAAAGACGAATGCCATGAAAGCAGATACCATGTTTTAATTACATCCATTTGGCTACGGATAATGCCCTGCTGTGCTTCCCAGCGAGGATGGAGGGTAAATGCACAGTCAGTTCCTATATAGCTACCTTTGCCAAACCAGCTGCTGCAAATGAAAGAAGAGCTCCAGCTCATACATGACATATAAATACGTATTATTTGGTACTGTTTTTTTTTTCTTCAGTGTATTTTTGGCAACAAGAAAAAAATATCCTATTCAGCCTTTACATTAAAAAAGTCCCAAAAAGTTTCTCAAAGGCACCAGCTAGCCTGTGTGAATTGTGGAAATGGCCAGACATCGTATACATTGAAATACTGATCCTGTTGTGGACAGTACTATATGTTACTCCCTGAAAATATGAACAGATGCTGGGAAACTATTGGGGTTCTTATTATAAAAAAACACAAAGTGCATACAATCTAAGATCAGATTTGTATTGGTTCTGGATGTACACATGGCCACAGGGACAAAACGGAATGCGTGGCTCCACTATCCTAGAATGATTCCCCTATTTTTGGGATTTGTGACAATAAGATATCTAACTACCTTTTCTATAAAGGCTCAACTGTACTTTACATGAGTTCAGAGGATGGCCTATTGGTTACTTTTTGTCCACCTAGCCATACCCTGTCTAGGTTCTTGTTGCACCCAAAGCCTTACTCTATAGAAGCCATTGTTTTCTTATGCTGCACTAATCGTGGCCAACAAGCCTGAAACAGCAGTATGCCGTTTAAACAAACTGCGCTATAATAGGAGGCTGTATATGCAATATAAACCAGTGGTTCTGAATGTACAGTCCATCATCGGGGCATAATAGAAAAATTTGCATGGCTATACCCACTATCCTAAAATGTGGTATAATCCCCTTATTCTTGGGGATTTGCGACACAAAGAAGTAAATACTTTCTGTTCTTAGAAGGCTCCAATTTATTAGTCACTTCATACAAAACTAATATTAAGCTATTACTGAAACGCTCAAAAGATATAGAAAGCCAGCAAGTGACTTGGCTCACTAGAGTCCATCAATAAGTAACATCTTACCTATGGAAAGAATGACCCTTTAACTACACTAACTTTAATGCATTTTCTTTTCATGTCTTTATAAGCAGCATTGCGCATTTGTAAAGGGGAAGTCAACTTCTGCTATAAACTAAAAACAGGACTCTGTGATCCCTCTGTGTATCAATGCAAATGATTCACTTTCCCATGACTTTCCAGGACAGGCTTCAGCCTGTTTTGCTAAAATTAAGATGGTGGTGGTGCTGACCCCCTCCCAAACACAATTTTTGCTAACTGCTCCCCCCATGTGATAAACGTGGGCACTTGATGCATTTGTATAGAAGCTCTAGATGTATTTTTATAGCAAATCTATACCCCTGATCTTCAACCTACAGCCCAAAGGCCCCTTGCAGCCTTTTGGTACTTGCTGTGTGGTTCTTGGATCCCAGCAGTCAGTGGTTGGAGCACTGACTTTTAAATAGGCTGTAGTAGCAGTGATCTCTAGTAGTCTCATGCAACATGTCCCCAGTGTCTGGCTGTCTAGTCTCCACAATATTAGCATGTCCCCAGTTTCTGACCATGTCCTCTACTAAATCTGCAGGTTCTGACCATCTTCTATAGAATTACATAAACTAAATACAACGCACGGACATTTGGTGACATTAGGAGGCCAGTTGAGACCTCCTATCAGTTGTCAACCATTGCTCTAGACCAAGGGTAGACAAATTTTGTCCCTTTAGCCGTTGTGGAACTGCATGTCTCATAAGGCATTGCAAGGCTCTGACAGCCGCAAGCATGATTTCCAGAGGCGGATGCATGATTAGATTTGTAGTTTCACCAAAGCTGGAGGGCCTGAGTTTGACTACCTCTGCTCTAGATGTTTGCATTTGTGTATCAGTAGCCTTTAAGAACAAAAGAACAGGCCCTTTCCCTTTTAACAGCAGCACAAAAAGGTACATACCAATTATATTGTAAAGCGCTGTGCAAACTATTGGCGCTATATAAATCCTGTATAATTATAATAATAATAATAATGATTTATTTCTGTTTTTGTTCTGCCTTGCCGTATGGTAAAGACTGGTATAGAACACTGGGATTTTCTATCATTGCTAAATGTCTTCACAAGGATTTTTAACATAGAGACCCAGTTGCTAAGCATCGTTGTGGAAATATTATCCAACAAGCGCAATGTGATGGCTCCGGCTAAACCATGGTAAGATATACAACGCCGGAGAATTACACAACCGGCTTCTCCCATATGTTTTCTGGCATTAGAGGAACAGGCAGATGAGCAAATTAGCAATAGATCACATAGAGCTGCATATGGAAGTGTTATAGATCTTTCCTGGCTTGCACTGTGCCTTGCAGATGGACAGCTTGGCATGTGTATTCATTCAACACACTGCCGCTTCAGTCTGCTTTCATACATCGGCAAGGCTGACATCCAGCACACCAAGCCCTGATTTATAATACCCAGGTGGAGGGTGTAAATCTCCAGGATGTTGTACACTGTAATATGTTGAATGCAAAGCTCACATCTGCACAGATTCCCTATTAATGTTTATAGATGCCTAAGCTTCGGCTTCCAGTTTTATACATATGGTTCCCTTTTCCACGGGCTTGGCCTGGCCCCAAGGATGCGTCTGATGTGCGGTTAACGATTTGTGACCCATCAGTGGATTCTGTGACACAGATTGCAACTTAACATCAAACGCTAAACGTGACTCATTCCGGGTATCCTTGAAAATTTTTTTTTTTCTCTTTGATGACAACTTTCTACAGACTCCTGTCAATATGTTTTACTAGTTTGGACAGAGAGGAGTTACAATGTCTGTCAGGTTTTTATTTCTCTTATGAACCCATTAGGGTGATTTTCATTTAATTCTACCTCTTTTCTAGAGAGGGAAGTGGGGAAAACTACAGGCAGTAAGAAGTAGTTCATCTTATAGTTTATCTAATATTTAATGAATGGCAGAAAATGCTGAGGGAAAAAAAGAAACAGATGCCTCTTAAAGTGGACCTGAACTGTACTGAAAAATAACAATGGACTTCTGTATATCTGCAGTGGGAGATCTAAGGCATTGCTGCCCCTGATTGCTAGTCTCAGGAGATTTGGAGTGAGATTCGATGATGTCACCACAGTGATGCTTAATGTTCTCCTTGCTGGAGGCTCCGACATGAGAAAATAAAGCTTTGTTTCTACCAAGATGTTGACCTGGACAGCTTTGCCTCTACCAAGACCCGGGCAGCTGCCCTCTGTGTGAGAGTGGTGGCCGTCTCTTCCGCGTGCTGCTGACACAGGTCAGCTTCCCGCTGTGTAAGTACAAATACATATTTTAAATAAGAAAAACTGCACCTGTCCACATAAATGTGAGGCTTCAGTAGGGCTTTAAAAACAATTATCTGGATGGGTGGCAGGCAACTTAGCAACCATGCTGGGGAAGCATCTGATGGAGCCGTCGGTACTGTGGCCAACGTAATGATGGAAAAACTTCCACGTAGTCCACTCCACAGCACCAAAAAGCGCAGCGTTGTCAACAAAGCAGAAAATAAGGGAAAATCTATCCTCTTTCTGCTGGGTAAGAGAACATGGAGTGAGAGGAAATGCCCCAACACAGACAGCAAACAAAACACATCTTCTACTAGAGCGAGGAAGGTTTAGAACCTCAGTGAGGGTGTTATTGCTGTGTTTCCATGAGGGAAATTCCCCTCACTTCCTGTTTAGGTGACATGTGTCAGATAGGACAGGAATTGAGGAAAAATCTCTTCTATAGACAGCATTTAAAATGTGACAGACAAAGCTTCTCTACTGGGACACAATACACTATTTACAAACTGTAAGAAGTTGTAACCCTTGCCCTTTCTATATAAATTAAAAGTTTTGGCAGTGGTGGTGCGTTCAAGAATGTTATCTGGCTCTTCTGAAATGTGCAATTTAAACAAGCTAAGGTAACATTTCATTTGTAACGTTTGACTGGTGGAGAGGGCATGAAATGCAGAGCCCAGCAACTAGGTCTGATTAATCGAACACTGAGAAAAGGAGAAAACGGTGCAGCTGTACGTCTTGGCATCCAATCAGGAGTCATTTTCCAGTCGGCTCTGGGCAAAAAAAAATAAAAAATTACCGCTGCATTCTGATTGGTTGGTATAAACAACAATGACCGTTTTTCTCAGTTTGGATAAATCCGAGCCCATTGTGTTCTTCTGCTGCTGTGACTGATTGAAATGATAGTCCATACAAATGGAAGCCATGTTTAACTTAATCAGATCACGGATAAATCGAGAACAAGAGACGATGAAACACATGTGAACAGAAGGAATTTTATCCCCTGACTCCTCCCCGGCTGGAAAGATCTCAGCGGTTATTGATAGGTACCTTTGCCATCTGTGCTTGGACTCCAGTCGCCTTCAGAGCTGAGACCGCTTTCTGAGCAGCTGCCGGGCTGTCAAAGTCTACAAATCCATAACCTGCGGATCATAAACATGACAATTTATACACATATCAAAGGAGGCAGCTTGTGCGCACAGACTGCTAAAACATAACCGTCATACTTTGTGAACAAAAGTGATGGGGAAAGTGATTTACTGGTCTAGAATGGGGATCTGATAAAACAGGAACTACAACTATGAGATCTGTTGTTACAAAAGTTCACATAAAAGATGTAAGTGCATAGATCCTAACTTTTTGAAACCACTACGGCCACGTTTTGCACTTAAAGTGACACTAAACTCAACAGTTATAACTTAAAAATGTATTTAATTACCCAAACTATTAACAAAAATGTATGTAATTTGTGTATCACTCGGCTGTAGATCCTCAAATCATCTCTGAATTGGTGCTGACACTGTCCTTCCTTCTGGAGGGTGACTACTTTTGTTCCCCATGGTCCCTGTGTGTGTTGTAAAGTAGCCACCTCTCCAAGCTCACTCCTGTGATGGACTACAATCTCACGTTTAGTTTACTAATTTGTATTGAGATTGTAGTTCAACACGGGAGCAAGCTTGGAGCGGTGGCTACTTTAGAACATACACAGGGACCATGGGGAACAAAAGTAGCCCCCCTCCAGAATCACTGCCTTCTTATATCTCTGGGGTCTCAAGCAAGGAGACCTATTCACCTGAATCCGCTACCTGCTGCGATCATCACCACCATCTCGGTCCCTGTGCTGGACTTCTCATTTGTTAGCATCTTGCCATGTTACACTACAATGACTGCAGCAAGAGGACTGAGTATCCAAGGCAGTAATTGCAGAAATAAATACTCAGTCGAACAAATAACACTACTCTAAGGGATAGTAAAAGCCAGCGAGTGATTTACCTAAACAGAGTCCACCCATAAATGGAAAAAAAAACTATTTTGAGTAGACTGACCTTTTAACTTGTTTGAAAGTTGAAAAAGTCAGGCAAGCAGACGGGTCACACAAGCGGTTAAAACTGCTGGGAATAAGAGAGGGAGCCAGTGCGCTAATTTGGAGCACTAACAACCATAATGAGCGCCTATGTATGTGACCAAGATATGCCACCACGGAGGCACTGTCAGGAATAATTGCAGGATTGGTGCTGACATGGTCAATTAAAGCTGGAGTGCCAATTACTTGTTTGTTCCAAGGACAGCAGCCAACTCTGTATGGCTGGCTGGAGCTGCAGCTTAATATTGAATATTCCCCTCAGAAAGTGGACATGCTGCAATATATCTCAGTGCAGAGGAGGATTCTAATTAAACATAAAATTTACTGCAGAGGGAAGACCAGAACCAGAGGTGTCAGCTGTCCTTCAACTGATTGTTTGTCCAGCAAAACACTTGCCAACTGCGAATGTTCATGAGGGCTGCATATTAATTTTGCAGAAGTGATGTAGTCTGTCTGTTGCAGAGTTTATCGAATTGAATATGTGTTTAATTAGAACAATGCATTGTATGGATCCAAAACATGGAACGCATCGTGTAGATACAAAAATGGAACCACACATTTTATGGATCCAATGCATGGAACAATGCATTGTATAGATCCAACGCATGGAACAACACATTATATTGCTCCAAACGTGGAACTCCGCATTGTTTGGATTCAATGCATGGAACAGTTTATTTCTTAGATCCAATGCATGGAACAATGCACTGAATGTATCTAACACAAGGACCAATGCATTGTATAGATACAACACATGGAACACACGTATAGATCAGATTTGTTGTGCTACCTTGCGGTTATAGGTGAACAGGGGCACAGTTCTATCTCCCAGTGGGAGACCCCAGTGCCGACATTGCCCCCTTTGCCATTCACATGATTTTGATTTGCGGAATTGGCAACATGTGAATGTACGAAGAACATCCGGGTTAGGGCTCATGCACACGACCGCCTGGGGCCGTATAACGTAAATCTAAAGTTGATTATACAAAGACTGTATGGCCAGAATGTAACGTGTATGGCAGGGGTAGGCAAACTGCGGCCCTCTAGTAGTGGTGCAGCTACAAATCCCATTAGGCATTGCAAGACTCTGACAGCCACAGGCATGTGTCATGCCTGTGGCTGTCAGAGTCTTGCAATGCCTAATTGGAAGCCAAAATACCTGACGGGATCTGTAGTCAGAATGCCATGCTTGATGGGAAGGCAAATACCTGACGGGATCTGTAGTTTCACCATAGCTGAAGGGGTGGAGTTTGCCTACCCCTGGTGTATGGTGACCCTTAAGGTGACCATAAACTATACAATACGATTGTACGACCGCCTTTAGATCCACCATCACCTATGTAGTGCAAGGGCCAACCTGATTGTTTAGGTTTGTTCTCATCCTAGATAGCTTTGGTAAGTCAAATGAGATTGTACAATCAGATTTTTTTATACTGCATAGCCAGCTTTACTTCTCAACAGCTAATCAGGAGGACAGCAGTGCTACTTACACCAGCAGCATTATGTGAAACTGACAGGTCCTCTTTAGTAGACCTAAATCTCTCTATGGTAGGCAATAGATATCCTTCACTGCACCTTTGTAAAGATTACCAACAAATTAAAGTTCTGTGTTTATGGGAATCAAAAGAATAAACGTCAAAGCTGGCAGGAGCCATACGAGCAGCTTGCTTCCACTCAGCCCAGTGTGGAAAGGTATTGATTCCCATTGTAATGTGGAAAAAGCTGAATGCTTTCGGTTCCTTCAACATAGACCTCTCCTGTACTCAGCATTAACAACCAAACAAGGACAATTAAAGTAGCCATTTAAAGGACCATTACATCTAAAATTAAAGATCCTTGATGTAAAAGGGCTTCTATTCATATTTCAAGTATATACTGTAGAAGAAAGAATCCAGTGCTGTGTAGAAAATGAACTACTTGACATCGTGAGTTGAAGGAGAACTATGGGGCAACCTTTTTTGCCCATAGTTCTCTTCAGGGTTACGGGAGGACATATACTGTGTCCTCCGGTGACCCAAAACTCAGCATATAGCAGGCTATTGCAGTGTGTGTTTGCTGACTTCCCAATCAATAGAGCGGACCTGTGACAGCTTCTTTGTCACAGGTCGGCTTGAATTATGGGGATGAGTGTTTTTCACTCACCCCATAATTCTCCTTTAAGAAGGCCGCTGGGAACCTGAGATCTCTGCATCGGTGTGCAATTATGTCCTTTACTTACATGAACCCCAAAGAACGTCATCAGCAAAGACTGAGTCCCAACCAACTTTCTACCCTTTGTGTTTTCCACTCTGTAACCTGTGGGTTGTCCATACAATACCCAGAGATATGTATGGGGCATCTCTGAGGAGTCAGATCCTAGTTGGTATATTCACTACAAGGGAGAGACGTTAAAGCAGTTTTTGCTGTAATATGCACCTTTATTTAGAGATTTACACTACAGAAATATACACTACTTTTTTCTGCCACTAGATGTCCTCAGTCTGATGGCCAGCATCATTAAACCCACTTCCTGTGACCTCAGGTCTTTCTGGACCCATCCCAGTCTGTGACTGGACAGTGAAAGGAGAAACAGCACCATGATGAAGCCATCTCTCTATCACTCTGCTTTCTCTTTCTGTCAGCTTGTTGTGCTGCTTCTTCCTCTCACACTCCAGCCATGCTGTACATGGACTGCAAAAGGCTGATACCTGCTCACATCCAGATATTTACACTGATTGCATTAAAAAATAAATTTGAGTGCCAGATGTCCCAATCTGGCTGCACTTAGCTTAGAGATCTCAACTCAAGTTCGGATCATTAGCAACCCATGCCTCCTTTGAGCTGCTGAAACTTTAATATGAATTCTGGGATTCATGCACATCAGTGGCTCCCCTTACCGACTGTTAAAACTATTGGGGGAGGCATGTCATGGGATAATGAAGGAGAGTATGACTAGGTTTAGGGCAGGGTTAGGCAACCCTGGTGTTCCAGCTGTTGTGGAACTACAAGTGCAAGACTCTGACAGTCATAATCATGACTCCCAGAGGTAGAGGCATAAAGGTATTTGTAGTTTCACCACAGCTGGAGTGCCATGGTTGCCCACCCTGGTTTAGAGGATCATAGACCACACTGATTACAATTAACAGTACAGACACACACCTAGTGGTCATGTTCTAAGGCAACAGTATTAGTTATACAGAACAATTTTTATGATAGATGCCATTTAAAGGGTCTGTCCACCCAAAAGATATATATTTAGTTATAGTTTAGTTAAGAGGTAGTTTTTTTTTACTTATAGGTTGGAGCTTGTGGTGCTGATTTAGCATCTGGCTTATTATGAGTCTTGGGTCCTTTAACAGCGAAATCTGACTGCCATAGTTCTGTGAGCCCACATTTGCATCTTCCATCTCCACTCTATAAGGGCTCGTTCACACCATTCGAGGTCACCGGCATTTTTTCAGCAACTGATCAATGGCAGTCACTGCCAGGGCATGAAGAAAACACAGAAAAAGAGTGTACAATGCCTTGTATTACAACGTAAGGCACCGCTACACCCTGCTGGCACACAGTGGACACCAGTCCCAAGCTTAAATGGACCATTGGGCTGGAGTGAATGATCTCTTATAGACAATATAAATAAAAAAATACAACATAGACAGCTGGAGATCTTTATACTGGCCATGGCAGGTGTGCAGACCTGTGAACTCAGCACAGAGATCTTGCCAATGCAGTCCCTGACAATTGTACATAATAGTCAGGGAGTTTAATTATCCGGCATCTACCAAAAAAATAAAATTAATTTTTGGATGGACTGACCCTTTTTGGATGCACTGATTTCCATTGGACTTTACGCAGCGCCTAATAGCTTACCAGACCTCACTAATGATTTCTCTCCTGCTAGCCAGCTATGCTGCAGCAACGTGAGTGGCATTGCAGTGACACTGTGTGAAGTCTTTTGCTGCTTACTCATGGGTGAACGGTGAAATCAGAGTCATCTGACTGAATTCCTTTCTTGGCCCAGTGATGCCATCTCCCCTTTTAAACTAGCAGGAGGGATTGCTACTGACACAAATAGCAGGG